TTTTTCTGTAAATTTTATAAAATTAAAAATATTTCTTCATTCAAAATTGAAATTAAAAGTAGTAATTTATTGAGATAAAAAAGTTATTACACAAACTGAAATTTATTTTGTTATTCCTGTACTATTATTCGAACGGATAGTGGGCAGTAAAATCAGCAGGAAAATCAGGTGCTCACCTGAACTTCACCGAAGCTCGACGTAACCTTAATCACGCTATAAACATGTAAATTTATCACCATCACATGACCAACAAATCAAACGAATAATAAAATTAAATACACCTTTGACAATTCTTTGTTAAGCTTTCCTTAATTATCTAACTCCGCATCAATCCTGTTAGTTTCGAGTGCGATAACAAACGATCGAGAATCGATACAAGAAATCGATTTTTAATCCCTAACAAAGTCATTTTTCCAACAACACCGCCGGTCCTACCCTTACCACTTACCATACTTAAATCTAGTTTAAACAATAGGGGATATTTGTATCGTCATTTGTCGAATTGAGTGTTGCTCTTTGAGGCATGAAGCACGAAATTGTTAGAGACCTTTCGCCGGGCCGCTCCGCCAAGAATTCGAGAGAGAGAAGCATCGAAGGGTTTGGCGAACCGATAGAGCCTCGGAGGCGGTAGCCGGTTTAACCTCCAGGGACCGCCTCCCGTTGCCGGCACAATGTTGGCAGACTCGATGAGCTATTGAAACATCGACAGGGCTGTGTTTAGAGTTTTTTTACCGTCTGCGGAAATTAGTGTGCGCCGAATACGCTTTATTAGTTGCAGGAATTTAATGTTGTAATTGATTGATATTTACTAATTATAGTGGATTAGTATGTTTGTATGTATGTATTGTAAACTGGGAGTTTCATTGGTTCGTGAAGTTGTGGCAAATTTATTGTAATGTTTGCGTTATAATTGGATTTCGGGGGAATTTTTGTTGCGGCGATGATTTTGTTGTATTTTCCGGAGTGATTTCGACCCTGTGTTGTTCGCTGTAGCACGCCCCTCAGGCGCGAGTGTAATTATCTTTGTCAAATATTTGCACTGCATTTACCTTTTAACTATTTAGATCGACTTTAAACGAACGATCATATGCGTATGTGTGCCGGGCGTCGTCGCTGCCGGTGGATTCATGCCCGCCCTTTTCACCCTCTCTATTAAACACACAATTTTTAATCTTTCTCCCGGTTTCCCTAATCGAACTAAGAACTTTCGCCGTCCTTCAAGAGGTTATTTTATTAAAATCTCCCGATTTGATTCCGCGGAAGCGGATGTCGCTGCAGCGGCGCGTTTCGAAGGGCCATTGAAAACTTCATCGTTGCAAAATTGGATTTTTCTTTCTAGGAATTACGTGGAAATTGCTCGTGTGTGTGATTGTGTGTGATTGTGTGTGATTGTGTGTGTAAGAGGGATTTTTATTTTAGTATATTTTAGTCGCGCGTAAGCATCAGAAAAAGATTGTTAATTAAAAGGGAAATTATTTATTTAGACTTCCAGCGATTTAAATTGAACGCTCCTCCTAAGTGTCGAGGCAATAAAAACAAATAGGCCGATAATTGAGCGGAAGATGGAAATAATTGCGAATAGACGCGACATGGCGTGCTCAAGGCAAATAAACTGCGTTTTGATCTTGCGGTGTCCACGTGCTCCCCGACATAATCTACAAAATATAGACACACCCTCGACGAAAGTGGAACATTGACAAGATCTAACAGTTTGTGGGTCGGGTATCACCTCGGTTTTTTGCCTTTACATCCGGACACGTGTCCGTTGGGGAGTTTCTGTACTATTTACCGTGTAGTTTAACCGCTCTTCGACGTTGTACCGGAAAAAGAAATTGCCACAATAGAAATTAACCCCAAATTATTCATGGAAAGTGCTAATCGCGTGAGCATTACCCACTCTTGGTACATCGAATAATACAAAACAACATTGTATGTATGTATATGGAAAAGACAAATGGAATAAATTCATTTACTATACATACTTTAATTTTAAACAGACGTTATATTAGATATTATAGATTTAAGAAATTGGCGTAAAATCAATAATTTCGGGGGTAAACTTTGAAGGGGTCAATTAATCGGAGGCCGGTGACAAAAATGAGACAACGTCGAGGCGGTTGAATTGGAGCCGAAGCCGAAAATGGAAGAATTCGCGAATTGTTTTGGGGGATTATTATTTTTCGCTTTTCGTCTTTGGAGTTGGAGCCGGGAAATAAAAGCCGGGCGACAGAGCGCGGCGCGGCGACGTGCCTAACAATGGTAGCAACGGGGTGACTATGGAAATGACAGTGAGATCGTGCTAGTTGGCGAAGTTGTCATCCCCAATGCCGTGATTTCAAACCCCGGTACTATAATTTACCAGCGAATAATAATTATTCATTGTGAAAGGCGAGCGAAAAGTTGTGCAGCCGCAGAGGTTCTCCCCTGCGGTTTTCTTGAATTTTCTGACATATGTCGTAATTATGGACTCTCTAAATCTACCCCAGCTGCTTTTTTTATTGTTTGGCTTAGCGATTCTTTTACGGCACTTGCACTTTCGTTCGCTCGCTTTTCTTTAATTAAGCCAAATACGACCGGCTCTTTTGTTCTTTTCCTATCGTTTCCTCGGTAAAAAAAGCGTTTGTTTTTTACTGTTTCACAACAAGATTCGCGGTTAATGAGTTTATTTTCCCACCGTCCGTTTCCGCTAGGATTAGGTTTTTTTTTTCTTATTTCGAAAATTAGGCGAATATATTATGAATGAAAGGATGCCTGGAAAACACATTTCCAATATTTTTTTCACGCGAGTTAATGGATGTTCGATAGAAACACGACTCCCGCATTCCCCCATTCAATTTAGCAAGTGTCGGCTGCAACGGAAATAGATTTGCGGTATATTTTTACAAATATCAATTATAATGGACAAATTAATTGACCAAATGTCACTCGAAAATGATGGGCGCGTTATCCCAAAAATAAACTAGTCCACTAATATTACACGGCTTGTTTGCCGGCTCTTACACTCGCCCGGCGTCCAATCAATAGTGTCCGTTGCACATTCGCACAATTTTCTCTAGTGGGGTGGTTTTGATTGAAATCGCAAAATGAACGGTGATTTTTACTGCATTTCTGACCAACTAACACCTTGACTGCCTGCGCTCCGGCGTATCCGATAACACGCAATCAAGTTGTCGACGGTAAAGCGTCCACAATAAAAGGCGTTCTTCGTTCCCGATTCAAAAATCCTTTGGCGCATTATGCGAAAAAAAAAACTAATAACAAAAACGATGCAAGCATATGTGCCGTCTTCCGGCCGCGGTCCTTCTTCCGCTGGCTCCTTTTGTCGACGGTTCGAACACGCGCTAGCGCACAAAAGACGCAAGGGCCTCTCGAGGGAGTGCCGAGACTTGTTTTACAAATAATTTTCGGTGAAGTACCAGTTCCAGATTGATGTCGCACGACTGATATCGGCTTACACTTCCGCGAGTTGCATCTGTAGTCATCAAAATTCTATAGCTCATTTGACTGCTTTTATATGTCGCTTTTGTTGGCGAAGGCACGCGTTCGACCAACAAAAAAATAATTCAAATAACCGACCGTCTCATTCGCATTACAAGCGGAGAATTTCCGCTAATTCGATCATCTCGAATCTTCGATGCCGATGCGGTCGGGAAAACAACCACCCCTGTCGGACATAATAATCCATTAAGAAGTGCGATCGGATGTAATTAGCGATTATAAGTGTCAGGAGCATCAGCAGTTGGTGGAAGGCGTGTTGATGACAATATTCCAAATACGAAATAGATGTCTGGTGGGGCGTTTCGAGGTGTAGCCTGTTGTTCGCAGTTAAGGCGATTACGAGCATATAAACATGGAAATGAGTATATCGCAGGGGATGAGGCGAAACAACCGCCCCAGCGATATATCTGTTCGTTGAAACAGCGACGGATCGGACGGAACTAGCATCTTCCAATTGAAATGTAATCGCTCTGTTGGAATTGAATGCAATTTTTCTAATCCTTTCCTGTGCAAGGACGTTTAACCATTTAGACGCACGTGCATTGTCACAATCGCAACGATTTCATTCCGCATACTAAACCCGACCGAATAAATATGGTATATGGTCAATTAGGCAGTTGGTTATGACACTAATCATAAGATAACACGCGAGATCAACGTTTATAAATTTATACGATGCAACGATTTAGATCATCAAAAAAACTAGCAAACTGTTTAGGTGTATGGGTACTTATGGGGTGCACCGCGAGCAGTGAAATTGGAATTGGATTAAAATCGAAATTCGTACCAGTCGAAAACCGGCCTAAGTCGAAATAAAGTTGATGGCCTTCGGAGTTGCATGCTCTGTCGAACTCAAGAGGTGATTCTAATCTCGAGCCTCTACCATTTGCGAATTGAGGGGCGTCGACTCCGGTAGTCGACAGCGAAGTCGTTTTCAACTGCAAAGTTAGCTCTGCCTTTCACGATCTCAATCACTCTATCGCGGAAAACGTTTTTTAAAAGATTGATGCGAAGGGTTGGCAACGCCTTGCTTTACACATGGTTTACCATTACTTTACACCCGTTCCTCGGATATACATTGAAAAGGTTAATAATATTCACTCAATTTCACATATTTTCCCGGTTTATGTGGAAATATGTAAAGTATTACGTATATTTTTTCGCATGCCTAGTTAGTTCGGGGTTCCGTATACGCTCGATAAAAATTGTTAGATGTCGTGCGATTCAACAATAAACTATTGAATCGTTTGCTGTTTAATATCGGAACTCATAATCCAGCTGTTAACATATTATAAAAGAGGGTGCAAACTTTAATAATAGTGAAAAATCCATTCAGGGTCTCTTTAACCCCGCCCATGTGTAGACTAAAATCGTACCCGTATCCCACTTTTCTCTAAAATCCACTACTTTAAAACCCCCTAAAACTAATTGGCGAATTCGCTTTAGACAGAATTTATATAAACAACGCGTTTTCTTTTTGTTCCAGGTCATAAAAAAACAGAATGGCGTCCGAAATATCAACGAACATTTGCCCCCAACCACCGAAAGCTCCGCCATCGCCGGCGAGAACGCTGAACTTTTCAATAGCAAAAATCATGGAGCCGGACAATAAGACGAGAAAAACATCGGATCAGGACATCGAGAAAGACAACAACGTTCTCAATTTATCGCACAGCTCAGCCTTCGAATCAGCCTTCAAGAAATACGTTCCGAATGTCCTCAGATCGCCCGACCTCCTGCACAATTACCCGTTAGTCTACTACCATCCCAGCCAGCTCATGTTGGGCTCCGTTTCCGTGTACACATCATCGGGCCAGGACCCCGCGGGCCCCATAAGCAGCGGCTCGGCTGTCAACCCGCTGGCGTTGCACTTCAACCAAGCCAAAGCGAGCCCCGCCAAGGCGCAGCCGAAGACCAGCAGCTCGTCGAGCGGCAGCTCCCCCAACATCCTGACGCCCAAGCAGAAGAGCTTCGAATGCGGCGAGTGCGGCAAAGTGTTCAACGCCCATTACAATCTCACGAGGCACATGCCCGTGCACACGGGGGCGCGGCCGTTCGTGTGCAAGATATGCGGAAAGGGTTTCAGGCAGGCTTCGACTCTGTGCAGACACAAAATCATCCACACGTCGGAGAAGCCCCACAAATGCCATACCTGCGGAAAGGCGTTCAACAGATCGTCGACGTTGAACACCCACGCGCGTATCCACGCGGGGTACAAGCCGTTCGTGTGCGAGTTCTGCGGAAAGGGGTTCCACCAGAAAGGGAACTACAAGAACCACAAGCTGACGCACAGCGGCGAGAAGGCCTACAAGTGCACGGTGTGCTCGAAGGCGTTCCACCAGATTTACAACCTGACGTTCCACATGCACACGCACAACGACAAGAAACCGTTCACTTGCAGGGTGTGCGGCAAAGGGTTCTGTCGAAATTTCGATTTGAAGAAGCACATGAGGAAGCTCCACGAGAACAACGGCAACTGCATGGAGTCGGATTATTTGTCCGGCGGTTCGCAGGGCGCCACTACTCCCGGATACTCGGGCGATAGGAACATTCACCATTTCATTAGTCCGTTTATTCGTCCACCGATGACCGTTCCGGTGTACTCGTCTAAGTTGTTGTGACCCCCATACTAATTGTAAAATATTTTTGTAATGTAGATAGTTTTTCCTAGACTTTGTAAATGCCACCTTGATTCGCCAAATTCGAAACACACCTTTCGGACATGCTAGTTATTCGTTGATGTAGGGAAATGTTTTTTTTGATGGCAATATTCGCACTAAGTCTTCATGTTGAAGTAGTATCTAAATAGTCAAGGGGCATTTGTAAATTCCAGTTTTTAAATTTTTTACGAAAATGAGTTGTTATTAATTGTGATTAATTGTAAAAAAATTTGGTGTACAAGTTTCTTGTTACGCAATGATTTCGTATAATAAGGTAATTCGAAATTTTTCATGATAGACAAATTTTATAATTAATCATGATGGTGTGTAGGGCAACGGCTTATTTTTGTGAAATGGTGATAATATTGATTGGACTTTTTTCAAAAAAGTTTTGATCTCTTTTTGATGTGCAATATCTAAGATACAGACTACATTGATCGGCGCATGTAACAATTCTCATCGCTTAGATATACATAAGTTGTAAAAAATATGTATTTAGTACCTAGTAATATAATCTAATAAATGTTATTTAATATATTCCTGGCGTTTCATTACCTCACTGAATCGCCTGCCAATAAATGACTCCTTTATTATTGAGTAACTAATAAAGAAGCAGCTCCAATCAAAAGTTGATTAAGGAATATATCCGTTTAAAAAAGATAATATTAACTGTAACGTGTGGAGCAACCCTAAATTTTAAAATTGTTATGAACGAGGGGCGATCGCGGGAGAACAGTCTAAGAGCCACTTCAGATAATTTAATATCCTGATTGGAAACATCATATGCCAACCAGGAAACACAGAGATTATTCGACCGAAAGATCAATTTATTATTTTCGACTACATCCCCTTAAGTCTTGCACGAATTTCCGCAAGGAAAAATTCATAACCGACCTTAGCTATTTTTCTCTCCCAGATGTTACTTGATAAACTCGTAAAACAAGATTTTACCTGTTACGCAAACATAATAAAATACCGAACGGTCCTAAGTTGGCACAGAAGGCGGATAATCTTCAATTTGTAATATTTAATAGCTTGTAGTATGGAACATTTTAATCCTGTGTAAGGTACTTGAGAAATGAATAGCGAGGGGCTGTACTGGCAGTGGTAAATATCTGAAGGCGGATGTTTGCTAACTGAACCAAATCAATTTTGGTTTGACCATACAATAGGATTTTACTTACGGCTAAATTCGTAGATCTATTTTATTGGCCTCATGGACTCTACAGGAAGTTCCAGCTTTAAATTCATTGGTTTGGTATACGTTACTGTTACTATACATATAAATGTAGAAACAGGGTTTTTTTGATTAGGTACATTAAGATAAAATAAATAAAGAGTTGCCGAGGGAAACGTGGAAAAAAAAGAAGAGATCATAGGAACACAAACACCTGCATACTTTCCGCCAGGAGGAGCGAGTAGGTGCGAGGAGGATTACGGCTTAATATCAGGACAACAGCATTCAAGTTCACAGTTTCCACTTCGACACCCCCTAACAATATTTTCACAGTTCAGCAAATGTGTAAGGATTCGAACATCGCATTGGCATATTCGTATTCGCATCGTATCATTCATTTTAGAATATGAAAGCCGATATTGCGCCCTATGCCCCCTCAATTTTTGGGGTTTTAAATGTCTTTATTAACAGTAGCTTAAACTTGCCATTGTGCTCCGACGTTGTCCTTGCATTAATTGGATTTCATGTTTCCAGTCTACGATAAAACTTAAAAAATATCGCCGTAGGATGTTATTGGAAAATATTCGCATCGCGGCAGCGGGCTCGTTCCAATAAAATAGTTCTAAATAAATAATTGGTCTTTTTGCCGGATCTCCGTGCATCATACCCATCGAAGCGGTTTAATAACCATATTTTCTATTGTTAGTCGGTCCCGAAATACCTTGTTTTACGTTTACTCAAGCAAAAATACCGCAAAGTCGAGTGATCTCGACCGCCAATGGTCAGCTATTCGGCTTTCGGTTTCCGCTCAAAGTAAATATTTGCATGAATGGAGCAAAGAATCATTGAAGTTACTGATCTATAGAAAAATGGAAATACATATACGCCACGTTCTCGTTTCGAAACGAATGTCTGTCCATACTTTTTTTCCTATTTAGGAATTCACCGGAGTGTGAGTGTGAGTTCGATGCATAGAAATTTCAATACTGGCGTCATAAAAATAGATATGACTGAAAAACTAAATCGGAAAAATAGGAGAATTTGTTCGTATTTATAGAATTTTTAGGAAGTTTTTGTAATCTTTTTGTCTAATTGAGTACCTGAAAAAATTTCTACAAACTAAGAAATTTTGAAATATGTCTATGTAACTTTTAGTGGCGTGGAAAATTAATTTTAGTCAACCAAAACTATAAGTTTTACATATGAATGAGTCTTAAAAAGTAAAAGCTAAAATTCTTGGTGTTGTTTTTAAAAGCATTTCAATGCAGAGTAGATTAGATTGGAGCAAAGAGTAGATAATAGAGAGTAGAGACTAGAGAGAAGATAGTAGAGAGAATATATGGAAATATGAGGAATTTTTTCAACAAATATCAATAATAAATGCATGCAACAACTAGATTTAAAAGAGGTGAAACATTGATAAGACCTTGATGAAAAGCTTCTTGCGTATCGCACCTATAAGAAAGAAAATGCAGATAATCACTATCTAATAATACAATCAAGCAAAAAACCTCAAATAATATCTCTTTCAGTTTGCCCACGAATTTCACGCCTACGTACAAACCGACTTGCCGTTCGCAAAATTCGAGGACGAAAAATAAAGGAAGTTTTTGAAAAACATGAATGAACGTAAAATCTGCGAATTCCCACATCTGTCAAAGCTAATTTGTAAAACTTGGGCAGATATTTCACTTGTGCAACTAGTCAGAGAAAAATGTTTTGGGCGGTTAAGCCACTTAAAGCGATCGCACAATACACGGCAGATAATCACTGCAAAAGGCTATTGGGACTAGGTAAGTGCTAAAGACGAAGATGTTAGTACAGTGAAATCATATTCCAATATAATATTTCGAACAGCACATAAAAATATCTTATTACAAATGTTTAGAATGAATAGTTAATGAAGTACGAATTATTAGTAGTTATGAAAATTAGAAAATATGATGAAAATGCAGTAACTGTATTACAGTAATCTTCCTGTAAAATAAGATAGTGAGAGGAAAGAGAGAACCGAAAAAAATAAAAATACAACCGTACTATAAAATAGTGAGATCGGTGAACTGTGATAGGTGAGCGGCATCCTGTTGGTAAAAGGAACCAGGACCATAAGGAATTCGTATCTGGACTATACGCAACACAGCATCAGGGCTGTAATCTGCTTAAAGATATTAACGGAGGCCGCTGTTGTGAGTGACCATTCAAGAGGAATAAAATATCTAATCTCGCTGACACAAATGCTGTATTTTCTATTTGTTCCTTTACACATGACGCGATTTTTACTTTTCGGGAAACGCTCATGACGAATGCATATGTTCTTTTGCAAAGTGGACACCATATTGTCGCATAAATCGACAAAAACGCTTTGATTTCCAAAGCCGACGGAAATCCTCAAAGTGAACAGTATAATACAGTTTTTCCTACATTTTTTACTACAAGCTTACAACATACAGTAAATATGAAATAAACATTTATTGGCGATTACCCGTACAATACGCTCTTTATCCGTTCGGATGAAGCCAATCGAGGATAATCATCGCCATAACAACCCCCGTTCGCGTTATCTTGTTCTATTACTATTAATAATCGTGCATTACACGTCCACACGTCGTCTAAAGGTGAGTTCAATTAGGAAGTAACGAATTAGAACCGACCTAATGGGTAGAAGGAAGTTCGAAAACGAGTATTCGACGCATTATCACGATCAGGGTAAGGGTAAGTGAAGTTGAAAGTTCATTAATTGCTCATCTCCCCTTTATATTCGGATCGACACCTTTGGCATTCATAAGCAATCTGGGGACGACGCGTTGTCAGTCCAAACAGGGATTATCTATCTGTGCGCCTTGCGTTCGTTCTTCCTTATTTTCGGCAACCAGCGTCGGTACAACGTTATTTTTATTTCCCTCTAATAACACCAATTACAACAGCACCTACAACACTCCTTGGAAATGCAGTAACTCACGAATTGAACACTACATGTTCATCCTTCAATCGAAATGCAATTTGAATTAATTTAAAATCGCAAATCATAACCATCGGCCCCGTCACTGGTTATTATAAAATTCTGCGATCAGCTTAGCTATCACCCTGACATGGGTTATCAACGTCCGAGCCATTATATTCTTTAAGGGTTATTCGGTCTCTACTAACCTTATCATGTTAATCGGCGAAATGCCTTTGAAGCCTAAACGAGAATTTTATACTGAACACGTTCTCATCACAATGCACAATCTAATCGATCTTATTAATAATAGATCAATTTGCGCTTTAAAAAATTTTCACGGCTCCTTTTCACCGCGGTTTCCTTCGAGGGCCGATGGAACGTTCAAGATTTCCGCTTTATTCCCCATTAGTATTTATTTTCACTTCGATGTTATTGAATTATCTATTAAATTTATTATTCGTATAAAAAATTGTCTTTTTTTAGGAGGGCAAAAATAAAGGGAATATCCAGGAGTATTATTTAGGATAGGAATTGATGAATGAGAACTTTTTTTTTTCAACTTTGATTAGTTGGGTAATTTATGAAAATTTATGAACAATCTTAATGTTGTTTTAAAAAGTATTTCAATTATTTCAAAAGATTAGAGTAGTAGAGTAAAGTAGGTTACATTAGAGTAGGAGTAGCGAAATTTTTGGTGCGTATTTTCCATATTGGTTGCTTCAATATTCAAAAAAATCCTTCCAAACCATTCCCTATTAGTGCAACCTCTAGTGCTTTAAAAAATGCATCGATGGTAGATAATAGTAAGAATGTAGAAAACACCAAATATGGTAAAGTAACGACACACCCCGGTTAATTCGAAAGAGCCAGGAGAGAAAATACAATCAAATTGAACCATCGTTATCAGCTCGAGGCGCTACCTAACGGAGTTCCTTGGAACAACCCGGCAGAATCGATCGCCGGCGGTAAGGATTTCTGAAATTCCTCGGCCCCGGCGCATCTACTTCTGGTCGCGCTGTTCCGATGGCGGTGAATTCCGGAATCCGGTGGACGAACACACCGAACCTCTGTACTTTGTATTGCATAGGGTGAAATCAGATATTGCTAGTGGGCCAATGCGAGTGCGAACATCGCCAGTTGTTAGTAAAACATGAGACAGACAACGACATATCTCTCGGATAATATCGAACAAGAAAATTAAAACAATGGCAGAAAGGTAATAAAACGAAGCAATAAACGCTAGTAATAAAGCCATATCAACAGTACAAGAATGTTCAGTGAGGTTGATAGAAATATTAGAAACGAACTAAGCATCGATAGGTAAGTCGAGAATGAAAGCCCGTTTTGTTTTACATTTACGCTATTTTTATTACCTAAAAAGTATTATAGGTTGTATTTTAGTATTGTAGTGATCAATATATTAAGCCCCTGAGTCATTGTATTTCACCCTTTAATACTAACAAAAATCATGCACGAAGAATTTCCCATTAACTTCCACACTTCCAAGAAAATTATTAGCCCACCAGTTTAGAAATTATATTACACATTATCTATAGTGAATCATCCGAAAGGCAAATAAAAGCATGCCCATACATCGCACCTCTCTAGTATATCTCACGCGACGATGATATTTTAAGTTTTAATCAAATTTATCGGTACGAAAACGCGCATAAAAGCGCATCGAATCTTCCGGATTCCGAGCCGGTTTCGTCCGGAACGATTTGACCGAACCGCAGTTTGGCAATAATGGGATCGGGATCGCTGCAATGCAGTGCCTTTCATGTAGATACGTCTACGTGTAGCGTTTCCCGTGAAGAAAGGCAATTACTGATGCCTGCGAGCTTAAACATCACGTGCTGATCGCGGGCCGTTTGTCACCGGGAATACGCTGCAATAATAGCGCAATCGAATCCGCGATCTCTCCGGCATTTTAGAACCGGGTTTAGTTCAAACATAATATTGTTGCATTTGAATTGTTTCGCGGCCCATCAAAATAGCCCGGGATAAAATAGATCATTGATAAAATCGCCCGAGGCAATACAGCCCAAACACAAAATCGCTCGAGACAGAACTGTTCCGGTAAAACTGAATTATTTATTAGATTCCCAGAGTTTCTTAAACGTTTTTTTAGAATCTACTTTTATTCCTTCTACTTCTTTTATTCCTTATTCCTTAATCTCATCTGAATCTTCTCTAAATCTACTCTACTTTACTCTCTTTAACGAGACCGTTGTATTGAGTGATATCCTGGTCGGTTTCCTGTTCCATAGAACCACGAAAAATTCGATGAACACAGTTCATGCTATAACGCGAGATTGCTATCGCAAAACGTGACAATAAATTTCTTTTTTCGGCTCATTAATATTAATTAGAACGGCGTTATAAATAAACTTTGCGTACGTAGCTGGAGCTTAAATAATTTTAGTAGTTCAGGAGAGATTTGAATGCATGTGTTCCACCGTAATTCGACTAATATTTGATGCATGCAACATCACTATCTAGTACATCTACTATCTATAGAGGAATTTCTGCTTGCGTTCTTCGAATTGCAGTAGCTGAATGCGCCTTCTAGTGCAACCGAACAATCGCATGCTGCGAGCTCGTATGCGAATTACTGGCCTATGTACCACAAGATTAGATTTGTTTGTTGGGCGATGCTTGATCAAATCGCAGGGGCGAATTTTTGAGATATTCTCTTTACAATACGGCGAGCGCGCTTTATGCATTCATGCCATTTATGCAGAAGTACAGTTGTGATCGATAAACGTTTACAATACACACAATCCAAATGTTTTACCACCATGATAATTATCTATACTCGCACATGTAAGTACTGTTGATTGAATTTTAATTGGGTTATATGAAGTATTAATTTTTTTCGTAGCATTTTATCGTGCATAACTCATTGTAGGTATATAAAATTATACAAACCTAAATGTGAATGTAATTTAATATACACAAAAATTTTACTATGAATTTGTGTACAAAGGAATTAGTTTCTTAATGCCGCTGGATGATAATAAATTTATCTAAAAATATTGAATAGTTGGTGTTCAGTCTGTAAGATAACTTGTCAAATTTTTTTTTATGTTAGGTTGCAAATAATGTAATTGGTTTTTATTTGGGTTATTAAGCTACCTATTTCAAATCGAGTAAGTACTTACATAGTTAAGAGGTTAAATATAGTAATATTTTTAGAATGCTATAATAAACTGATAAAGATGTATTATAAACTGCAACATTTGGAACCGTTTTTACTTGTCCTAGTTTCATCAAATTCTTTAACCTTTCTAAAAGGGATTATTGATTAGTTAGCATGGATGTTTAATTTTATTAGCTAAATTTCGTTCTTTTTCCTTCGCATCGAAAGAGAAGAGACTAATTATATTTCCTAGTAGATAACAAATTATTCAGATTCTTATTATTGATCACGTACGTTTGTGAATCAATTCGGAAATTTCTGATAGAAAAAGGAACGTTTTGTCGTTAAACAAACATTTTCATTGTGAAAAAATGTACAATTCAAACCAAACAATATCAAATTCAAATTCTTTTTTAGGTCTAATTCAATGCGTGATTGATACACATTAAAATGCGCGATAAACTTAATCTTTATTTAGTTCCACTATTGTATTTGTAGCATTTCATTCATTTTTATTGGTGGCATAATTGATAAAATAAATTTTTTAGTACGGCAGCATTAAAAGCGATATACACAATTTTACTGGATTCAAAAGTATTTTGAATATCTTAAATCTTAAAACCACAAAACGATATCTACGAAATCTATTACCGCATTGCCTCAATTTTATTTAGTTTCAAATAATATCAGTCACGCACAAATTGGCTTTGCTCGCGTGTCTTCGAAATCCAGGGCCATTTTTCGTATCTAACTTCGTAGAGTTAATGGTTTATTTAGTTGAAAACTTATTTCAAAATTGTCACGATAAACGATCGTGTCGCGGCCGAAGCAGCGTATCCTTCCACATAATTGATGATTTCGAAATTGATTTTTGGAAGATATAAACAGGAAACGCCTGACTAGCTGATTAAAGTGGTCAACGCATTACCATAAATATATTCCAGTCGATTTCTATTGTTAGTGAAATATATTAATGCCTTATCGAGTTATTTGATTTATGCTTTGAAAATTGGTCGATAGATTGTTTATATAATATAATTAGGGTCTATCGTGTTTCAAACGTAATAAGCAAACAATTAGGTTTGAAAGATTGACTTTGACCGGCTAATTATGATTTTTATACATCATTCGTCACTGACCTAAAATTAGAATGTAATCTTCCACTTTAGAGACGTTGTTAATGCACTAAGAATCTACCACGATTCTAATTTTGGTTTACGAGTGCATACAATCGGAATCAAATATACATAACACATTTAAAACTTACCCGGCGTAATTAGCTATATCACGAATGTTTTGTGCATGTAGCTATTTTAGTGGCTAATTATTAATTATGTTGTGTTGGCATCGATTCCATAAAGTATGCACGCTAATCAATAGCGTTTAAATTGCAAAACTATTCTCGATGGGTGAGTTAATATTTATAATATATAAATCCACATCTCGTCAACTGTGTGAAAGGACAATCTGTATGTAAGCGCACTTCGTGTATAATGCACGCGATTCATCATCTTCTAGTTCCATATAGATGTAAAATTTGAAAGCGATTATACACAGGAAACGCTCGCGGTGATAAGTAGCCAGTACATTTTTTTATTCATTCATGTAGTTAAATCATTTTTATTCGAGCGATTAAAGCATCAATGCCAGACGCTTCCAGTAAAGGAAGTACTAACGTGCGGTTTTCGGAAAGCCTGAATGATTTTTTGTGATGATGTTAGGCTAAGGCGTATTGCTCCTGCTGAATAGTAAGTGCCGATTTAAAAATAAATTTAAGGTCACTTCCATTGATTGTGTTATCGATTTGGATTATTTGATCACCGATATGATTACATATATTTCAATTTCTGTAGGTAGTTTCCAGTATTTTTCATTTTTTTAACATTTAAAATTGAAATTTGTTAGGAATGTTGTGTGAAATATTGTGCTTTGAATTCTGTTGTAGTTGTGTAGATCTATTGTTTGTTATTATTCAATTTACCCAGTTGTTTATTATAAGTGTTAGTACAATATCATTTCGCTCAGTTAAAATATGTTGGGAATATTTGAGTAGATTTATTGCGAATACTGAATAATGTTCTAAAAATATCTTAAAATTTTGTTTGTTAATAAACAAAGGTGGGTATAAGTAAATAGTCCAATTAATTTTATCGCTGGTTTTGTACATAAACTACTTACTAAAATTTGTCAAAAATTCGGGTGACTAAAATGACGAAAATTATAGGAAATTACCGGAAATTTTTTTCATGACCTTTCCCAAATTCAATAATTTCACCTCTTTGTAATATGATTTTTTTAAAGCGAATTCTTCTATTTGTTACAGCGGAAGATAGCTCGTAAAAAGTATGAGGATATCTACTAAACTCTACCTAATATTATTTATGTGCGCATTTATTATCCTAGTGCAATATCATTTTTATAATCCTTGGATATTAACTACTATTTCTGAAAATGATATACGACCAGTTAACGAACGAAAATTACAAGTGCCGGTAAGAACCAAAAAATATTTATCCCCTAAGTAAACGAGATAATCACTCGATCTGAGTGATTATCTCTATTGCAGTGCCATTAAAATGTTTCGAATTTCTCTGTAGAAAAAAACACGAATTCATTTATGCTCGTCAGTGCCAAGCTGGCCGAGCGCCAAGTGTGCAGCAAGAGATGCACAAAATAACAAAGGCGAAGAAAATCAATTTTCTCGGTTTCATTGTCTTGCTCTAAAATTTACCCTTGAAAATATTTATGAGGTCGAATAAACGATATTATTTTATTTTATTAAAAAAATAAATTAGGTACGGCAGCATTAAGCTGATAAATTAGCAATTATACCCTTTATCAAATAACGAGTTTCCTTGTCCTTGAATCAAGCCATATTAATGCAAACAAAACAATGAATGGAAAATTATCAATAGTGCATTAAAACTGCAGTACCTAATTAACCGAGAAAAACAAAACTATTATTACCTAAAATTTCACAAAAATTATTATTTTTTAGTGCTATAATATCGCTCAAGCCGAGGGATCTGAATTACCACCTTTATACATTATCACCCCTACCTATAGAAGACCCGAACAAATAGCTGAATTAACTAGACTTTCTCATACTCTAATGCTAGTACCGCCGAATTTAACATGGTTAGTGATAGAAGATGCCTACCAAACCAACGACCTCGTCGAAGAAGTGTTGAAGAAATCCTCGCTGAAGTACCATTACATGATAGCGCCGATGCCTGCCCAGTACAAGAACAAAACGAAAGGCCCTAAACCCAGAGGGGTGTCGAACAGAAACAAAGGGATCGAGTGGATAAGGGAAAACGCTAAAACTGGAGTGTTGTATTTTGCTGATGACGACAACACTTACGATTTAGAATTATTTAATGATGTGAGTATATGTTTACCCTTACATGAGTACCTAAGGTTAAATATTTTTGTTTGTATTTTTTTTAGATAAGGTATACGAAACGGGTATCGATGTTTCCAGTTGGATTAATAACCAAAGCTGGAGTGAGTTCGCCTATAGTGAAGAATGGTGTTTTTACTGGATTTTACGACGGTTGGATCGGTGGGAGGAAATTCGCCGTCGACATGGCGGGATTCGCTGTTTCTGTGGAGTTTTTACTGAAGAGGCCTAAAGCTAAGATGCCTTTCAAGCCTGGATTCGAAGAGGACGGGTTTTTGAAGAGCCTGTCGCCGTTCGAGCCGAGGAATGTCGAGTTACTAGCGAGTAATTGTACAAAAGTAATAGCAGTTGGAGCGTTTTGAAAATCATGAATAACTTTTCTTTCTGCCTGTTTTTTGTAGATATTGGTTTGGCACACACAAACGAAGAAAAATGGACCGTCGTTGCCTCTGGATATGGCAAAACATAATAATACTAACCTCGTGATGCTCAAAAAAATATTAGTCTAGTCAGACGTTGTTTAAATTTAAAATTTAATGCAAATTGCATTACTTACGAAGTGATCACGCTATACAGTGCATTTCTTTAATGTCCCCCCCCCCTTTTATTTTTTGAACGGATCAACTTAGAAAATTGAAATTTGGGATAATGAAACTAATGCATGATTACTATATTTTGGAGTAAAATTGACAGACGAAAATTTCAAGATGGCGACTGGGCGCCATCTTGGAAAATAAATTTAAATGGAAAGGGGGGTCTTGTGATACATCATTTTGAAGCTCCTGACAAATACTCTACAACCCTGGAATATAAAGTCAATATCTGCACCTGCTACAAAATGGCGCACACTTAATAATTACCTGAATAAATCGACGTTTAACGTCATAATTTGAGGAAATAAGCTGAGTTCTGTTCAAAAAAAGCTCGAAATGGTTGCCTTGAACTTCTTGATACAAGAACAGCCTATCCGAACATTTTCGAACATAGTAACGTCGATATTTTTACAAATATCTGTAATTATTTCTCGTATATCCAATATTGAAGCAGGTTTAGTTTCGTACACATTTTGCTTCAAATAGCCCCATAAAAAAAAGTCTAAAGGTGTCAAATCTGGTCAAATTCTGGTCAAATCCATTCCGTAGGACCTCGACGACCAATCCAACGATCCAACGACCAGGGAAAATAGCATCCAAATAGTTCATTACTTGTCTGGAGTAATGTGGTGGTGCTCCATCTTCCAATGGACGAGAATTGGCCATTTTAGAGTTAGTTGACGTGCTACCTAACTGCAATGAGAACTAAACAACCGAAAACTAAATGAAAATACTTTGAACACTGGGAGAATCGAAAACTAAAGAGAATATTTTGAACACTAAGAAAACCAAAAACTAAATGAGCATATTTTGACTAAACAATTAATGTTCGTTGTCGTACTTAAATTTTTTGGAATTTTTTTAACCAAAAATAACCTGTCAAACCTTATCGGTTTGCTGGGATTGCTGTTTGCCATAGAAAAACAAATATTTCTAGAAAAATTGATATTATTTTGTTTGTATTCAGGTAATTATTAAATGTTCCGCCATTTTGTAGCAGGTGCAGATATTGACTTTATATTTCAGGGTTGTAGAGTATTTGTCAGGAGCTTCAAAATGATGTATCACAAGACACCCCTTTCCATTTAAATTTATTTTCCAAGATGGCGCCCAGTCGCCATCTTGAAATTTTCATCTGTCAATTTTACTCCAAAATATAGTAATCATGCATTAGTTTCATTATCCCAAATTTCAATTTTCTAAGTTGACCCGTTCAAAAAATAAAAGGGGGGGGGGACATTAAAGAAATGTACTGTATAATGGCATTGTTTTAGTCAGATTCTGAATTGTACATATCGCATAGGACTTTATTTTTTTCATACATGCGTTCAAGATATGAGGAAATATTGAACAAAACTCACGTTAGCTCTTTTAGGTGTGTTTTTCGTTACTATTTATTTATAAAATATTTTTTTACCGAATGCAAGTTAGGTTAAACTTTAAGTAAATAATCATAGGAACATGATTGTGATACTCCGTGTACATGTACATAATATCAATGCGATTTTAATATGCATTAATTATTGCCATATCCCATTTACATTTTAATTTTAGTTGTTAAGAATGGGGCTGTGGATGAATTTTTTATACCTACACTAATTTTAAGATAATGCAATTTACACAATCATGTAGGTATCGAAATAATAATAAATATATTTATTGCAATGAATTTGTCTTTCATTACCAGTGATTGAATTAAAATAACACTCGAAACTTTTTATAATATACTTTTATTTTGACGTATAATCATTCTAACTATTGACAATTCTGATTGAACCTTATGATTTCAATTCCTTTACAGCTTAACATTATACTCTCACTAATTTGCTATCAGTAATAGTATGCATGTATATAATATTTTGATGTATATGTAGCTGTTTTGAATATTTTTTTGTTATAAAATACTTGTCATAGGGTACACAATTCATTTATGATTAAATCGAACAATGTGACAACTGTGTTTCAACAAATTTCACGTTCATTAAATCTTTAGCTTTTGAATTAATTTCTGTAGTTCAGATTTTCTGTTTGCTGCATAGGGAGTATTGAATAATTAACAAATTTTGTTTTTTTTTTCGGTGGTATTAAAAAAACGGGATTAATTCAAACGCTAAATTTATTATTCGGGATGAGTACTACAAATATGAATAATCTACAAGCTAAATTTCTGCTAATTTCTGCAATTGAACCTTTACAAATCAAACAATTAGGAATAAATGTCCAGTGCCGTCTTTGAAATTATACATTTCTGGAGTGCTAATATTATGAATACGATTGCTTAAAGATTTTATAAAAATAGCTTTTATGTACCTACATATTTAGTGCTTTTTGCAAAAAAGAGTGACAAATGATGAACAAATAAATCGTAAGACTACTATGAAATACTTCCTTATCAATACATTGGACTTACATTTACTAGACGGCCCTGATCATATTGTATGTAAATCTTTGTACAACCTTATTTTAAAACTGTTCTGTCATGTTTGCCCATCGCCGACAATGTCATTATACATCCCTTTTATTTGATATTATTTATTATGTCCTCAGACAAAAATTATCTCAAAAATCCTCTGAATAAAACAAAAAATAATTAAAAAAATCAACTGATAGCGTCGGAGCCAAAGGGCGAAATTTCAAACCAAATAGGCAATTGGACCTAAATTGAATGTGTGATAAAACATTACAAATATTACACAAACATTACTGTAATATTCCTTAATTTTTCGGTCAATAGATGTATGTCTTGATAAAATGAACCTGGGAAATCATTTTTTATGTAATATCCTAAAGTATCTAAGTTACTTACACGTATAACACGGTATAACCCTGTTTTAAATCCGAGATTTTGATTACTTTTCAAACAGATTATTATCTATACACACTGATTTGAATGCGTTAAAACAATTTACAGCTCAACTTTGCTCGATGAATAATTATCGGGTATAGGTATAAATTTTACTAATAAAGGTATATGAATATCTCTTACAGAAATAGAATTTATACTCTATATAAATGCAACTTTTCTATAGCTTTGGTCCGTAAAAAATAAAACGTCAAGGACACATATAGAACCACTAGTTTATAAATTACTACTACTTCTAATCCTTAAAAACAACTACCTAAATACAGTTTTCAAATAATTCTTCTAAGGTCCCAGATGTCATAATTTTAAAGTCCGATTGCCCATTGATCGATCACGGAAGATTGGTAAATAATTTTTGGGGTCAGTACCCGAGCAGTGTCTTGCATAGTAATAAACAGTCATCGTCTGGATTTTAAAATGGCAGTGTCATACGTTAAGAAACTGAAAACAACCTACACTGCAAAAATCTTAATAAGTACTCACAACACTTTAAACGAATGTGAAGCAGTGACGCAGTATTCATAGAACAACACATATGCTAACACTCATACGTTTATAACATACATACAAATACACTAATGTGACATTTTCCATCGATTCGTATTTAATTATATTGATTTCCTCATTTTTTTTTTCATTTTATGCATTTTATCACAATAGTATTTTTATTAACAAACGATATCTAAAAAAACGTTCTATTCAGTAACACCACTATGTACAAAGATAATATCAACACATTTACTTCTAAAAAATACTGAGTCACTAAACCAAATTCAAAATATCTGTTCAATATCTCTTTATAATAGTCAACTCTTCCATTTTTATTTACGCATAATCTAACTTCTTTTTAAATATAATCGATCCTCGTTCGAAACGAACAGGTTCTTTTATTAATTAGAATTAAATTCTGCCAACGGCTTTTAGTATTGTCGATATAATTTACATTTATCGAGTCGATAAATTTTACTTTTCAAACCCATTACCTACCGAACATTTCAATTAAATAACATTGTCTTTTCGTGCTGAAAATGAAACTATTGATCGAATTCCTTTCACAGATGTCTGAAAATTAATATTAAATGAATTACTTTAAATCGTAGAGTGCTCGTTCCGTATACAGATGCTTAGAAGTTATTTAATGGGCATTTCAATACTTAAACATGTTTAATACTGAATAATAATGGTATCATTAACCGTTTTATATTGAAAATGCCCGCTAAATTGGAAATACATACCACGTATGCAGTAGCACTCTACTGACATCGCTCTAACAACAACTAGGCTGAATTTATAAATACAAGGTTCTAAAACTCAACCGAATTATTACCTAAATTAATATTAATACTAAACAATTACCTTGTTTGAATAAATTCAATCACATTTAAGCAGGAACATTAAACATAAATTCGCATAACAAATATACAAAGCGATATAATAAGCTCAGTTCAAATTAGTACACACAGCTACCCTGCTCTAGGTTTTACTTTTCCTTACCTTTTTCTTCGATCCGTTTAAAAATTCTTTATACATCTCAGATCTTAGATATCTCGAGTAACTGTCGCTTTTCATCAAATGATATACGTGGCTCTAAAAACAAAATTTCGTTCGACTATTCATCGATTAATTGTTAATAAACTTACAGCTGCATAATCGAATCCCCATCTATCAGGTACTTCCATATTCTTTTTAGTTAATTCATTCGATCGAGAGTCGACATTAATGGGACAACTCGCATCAGGCGCTAGAAATTCACCCCATATTTCCATTGCTTTCTCTTGCACTTGGCTTTGGGGAAGCGCCTTCAATTCCTGCACTGCCTCCCAAAACCTGCAAATCGACGCAAATATGTAACTAGTTTTTTAAAGAATTAGTGATGCATTTCACCTCAAATTTTCACCGCTAAACTCCTTGTCCAAAAATTTGATGAAATGCTCTCTACCCACAGAATCCTGCAGCAGCTCCTGCAAACTGAAGGCCCATCGTTTAACCCTACGTGCTGATATGTCTTTTGCTGTTTTTTCTTGTTCCCATAGTTCGGGGCTATCGGATATCCAAGGATTCGGATACTCTGGAGCAACAAAAAAACTGTCGTACTCCAAATATTGCTCATAATACGCAACGAATCTGAAATGTTTCATACATAAATAAGGAAATGTGTGGTAAGTGTGGGAGCTTACGATTCGGCTGCTTTTGATATTTTAATATTCCTTCTGTCGAGCCGGATTTTAAGCAAAGCGATCTGTTTCTTCATCTGCTCGAGGTTGTTTTGCGGAGCCAAACCCGATGTGCTTGGGGATAGTTGCGATGATAAATTTACTAATTTGACTCCGTGAATCGGCTTGTGCATCTGACAGGCTTTCTTGATGTCGATCTCTGTGGTGTTCACACAACCGGGCTGCAATAATTTCAGTTAAATAACGTTTTCGAAAGCGTTGTGTGGTTTACCATAGGTCGATGTACATCCCAGAATGCTCTCTCTTGACTGTCTAACACTTTTCTCTCCAGTTTGTCTCGCTTTTTGTCGACTTTACTTTGCGCCTCGGCTTGCATGAAAATAAATTCCCATTTCCTCGAAAACATCTTTTGAAGCCTAGCCAGGTTTTCAGCTTCGTAATCAGCCAGTTCCAATCTCGTTTTATTTTGCATTGTTCTTTTGCACAGATACACAGCTGTAATGAATCGTAGTTATTAAAATAGTATATATTTCGTAAATTGATTGTACCGTAATCGGTATTTTCCGGTTCCCAGCAATTCGACGGCCAAAAATAAGGAGTTTGAAACCTATAAAATGTGTTATCGTTTTTAACGGTGAGCATATGATCATCAATGGGGAAGAAATATCCATGTGACGCCATCAAATGAGCTAAGTGTAATGCTTCTTGTTGATCTTCTACATCTAAGTTCTTCATCATCCACATTATTAAATCTGAACCCGTAAAGACCGAAGGAATTTTTGACATAAAGCTTTTTACTGTGCGTACTGGTACACCGGTCGTTTCATCCTGCATTTTCTCCACGATTTTCTCCATCTAAAAAATAATAAGACAAAATCGATATGATCCAAGTGTGCTAATAATGAATAAGGTTGCGTACCTTTTTGTATAAAAGATGATTCGGAGACTCTTCGCTAGTCGGTACAGGATGAACATGACTCGGTTCTTCATTGTTTATTTTAGTGCAGCCTCCGTTATTAGGCTCTGGCTTGCGCTTTGTGGCAGCCTTATCGGAATTCATAGTGACCATATTACTATCCTTGGAGGAACGATTTCCTCCTCTCGCTAAAACTAATTTCATCAGTAACTGTTGAATATTATTTACACGAATTGATAAGTGAACGGGATGCACTGAACTGAAATGGAATCACTTTGAATACAACTAAAGGGCATCAAAAATAAAATATTCGGATTCGCTCGACGCAAACTAGGTCGGATATTAATTATTTACAATTGTACTTGCATGGAGTAAAATAAAAACAGGCTAAATGGAATTTAATTGAATGAAGAAGTCAACGACACTGCATCCTCGCAATCATTGCATATCCTATTTGAAAATAAGCGTTACGAACATTCCGAAATTTCAACTAAATGGTGCAAAAAGGCGTTTAGTTCATTAAACATTTAAACTCACTCCATCAAAAACAGTAACAAAAATTGCCCAAAAGGATATAATTTTCCTATCATTATACGGCTTAAATCGTCCCAGGTTTACGTTTTATCAGGGTACATCATATTTAGAAACACCTCCTTCCTTCGGTTGGGCTAAAATAAATGAGGAAAACGGATTTTTTTATTTACTTTTACTTGAACACCACCATCGATATTTTACAACCACTCATCGGTTTCTTTAGGGCATCTTCGGGGAGTTCGGGGATACTCGGTTTATTCGCGTTCATTCATTACTTTAGTTCGTTCATTGTTCAATCCGGAGGAATCTGCTTTTACCATACAATGGTTTTTGATCCACGGAACACTTTTTAATTAATTTTAACAAATTTCAATAACAATTAAGCCTGTTTTGCAAATGCCGCATATTAATCTATTCTTCTCGAAATAAAATTGATTCATTGGATTATTAGACGAAAATTCAATTTATGAAACTCGTTAAAATATGCCTAAGATTAAAAATTCCAATATTTAAATTGACATTGACAGTTGTGACAGCTGACGTTGACATATATATGAATTGTTCCGAAACATGACGGAGCAAATTGAGCTTTTTTAGTAAGCAAGAAAAGTTCGGTTGTAATAATTGTTTAAGTTACTTTAAAATACAATAATATACGTTTAATTCAGTTTATCTGCTTCAATTGTATTGAAATACTGCGGGAATATCGCTTGGTGCATTGAAAGACCTCAAGAAAAATGAGTGAATCAAAAGCCGAACCTATAAAGGTGGAATCAAAAGCAAATGATGACAAAAATAAGAACGAACTTGTAAGTTTATTCCCCATTCAATATAACCCAGGTTTATAACTTCTTTTTTAGTCGGATGAAGATAAGCAACTTCAAGAGGAATTGAACTTGTGCGTGGAAAAGTTACAAGTGAGTTAATATATTTCTTTACGCGATTGTTGTTCACTGAATTATTTGTAATTGTTCCGTAGGAAAATGACAGTAAACTTTATATGCCCGCATTGCAAGCTTTGGGCAACCACATTCGGGCCTCGACTACTTCTATGACGTCCGTGCCCAAACCACTGAAGTTCATGAAACCTCATTACGATACGATGAAAACGATCTTCGAGAAAATTACCGAGGCCCCAGTTAAATGTCTCTGCGCAGATATTATTTCCGTACTAGCTATGACTATGGGAGAAGGAAGGGACTGCTTAAAGTACAGGCTACTCTCCGATTTGGACAAAATCGGTGAATGGGGCCACGAATATGTCAGGTAATTGTAGTTGATTTTCGAATTTACTCAGTAATTATTAACTGAATTTTGTGCAGACATTTGGCTGGAGAAATTGCTGGTGAATGGGCCGAAACCGATTTCTTAATAAACACAGAAGTTAGAGATAAGCTCATATTATTAACGAAACAGATCGTTCCTTATAATATGGCCCATAATGCTGAAGCTGAAGCTTGTGATTTGTTGATGGAAATCGAAAGACTAGACTTGCTCGAACAATATGTGGATGAAAACATTTACCCTAGGGTTTGCTTGTATCTTACAAGGTAAAAGGTCCACTTTTCTTTAAGAAAACTATTATTATACAAATACATTTTAGCTGTGTGCCTTACGTAGCTGATCCAGAAAATACCACTCTTCTTCAAACTGCTTTGATGCTATTCAGGAAATTCAAGCAGTACCCTCAAGCTCTTCGATTGGCTATGCAACTGAACGATCACAGTCTCATTGAAGAAATATTCCTAAACTGTCCCGATACGTAAGCTATTACTTATTATTCTATTTTCACAATCTACATCTAGCATATTTTTAGTGATGTGCAGAAACAGTTGGCATTCATGTTGGGTAGGCAGCAGATTTACATCGAAGTACCCGACACCACACCGGAATATGAAGACCTCATTGAAATAATGGCGAATTGTCATCTAAACAACCACTTTTTGAATCTTGCACGCGAATTGGATATAATGGACCCGAAGACCCCAGAAGATGTCTACAAATCCCACTTGGAAAACAGCCGTCCCCCATTCGGTGGAAGCCAAGTTGATTCTGCCAGACAGAACTTGGCTGCGAGTTTTGTAAACGGTTTCGTAAATGCCGCTTTCGGGCAAGACAAACTCTTGATGGAAGATGGAAATAAATGGCTCTACAAGAACAAAGAGCACGGTATGCTGAGCGCTACTGCCTCATTGGGTTTAGTTCTATTATGGGACGTTGATGGAGGTCTTACGCCTATTGATAAATACTTATATTCCTCTGAAGATCACATTAAATCCGGAGCTCTGTTGGCTTGCGGTATCGTCAATTGTGGAGTCAGGAATGAATGTGATCCCGCATTGGCCCTGTTGAGTGACTATGTCCTTCATAGCACGAATATAATGAGGATAGGTGCTATCGTGGGTCTTGGATTAGCTTATGTTGGATCTAACAGAGAAGCAGTTTTAAGCTTACTGACTCCTGTCTTCTCCGATCCGAAATCCAATATGGAGGTTATCGGTATGTCAGCACTAGCTTGCGGAATGATCGCAGTGGGATCTGGAAATCTTCAAGTCACCACCACAATTATGCAGACGTTAATGGAAAAATCGGAATCTGAACTGAAAGATACTTACGCTAGATTCTTGCCTTTGGGTCTCGGTCTGTGTATGTTGGGCAAACAAGAAGGTATCGATTCCATAATTGCCGCGTTGGAAGTTATACCGGAGCCTTTTAAATCTATGGCAACTACTATGGTCGACATTTGCGCTTACGCCGGTACTGGCAACGTGCTTAAAGTTCAACATTTACTTCACATTTGCTCCGAACATTACGATGGCAGTGACAGCACAGACAAGAGCTCTAAAGATAAGGACAAAAAAGACGCCGCGGAGAAGGAGAAAGACCTTTCCTCGAGACAAGCAGTGGCCGTACTCGGTATAGCTTTGATCAGCATGGGCGAAGATATTGGTAGCGAAATGGCCTTCCGCACCTTCGGGCATTTGTTGCGCTACTGCGAACCAGTGATTAGAAGAGCAGTACCGTTAGCTTTAGGACTTATTTCAGTATCGAATCCTAAATTGAGCATCCTCGACACTTTGAGTAAATTCTCGCACGATAGTGACGCGGAAGTAGCCCACAATGCCATATTTGCCATGGGTTTAGTTGGAGCGGGTACGAATAACGCAAGATTGGCCGCGATGCTGAGGCAATTGGCGCAGTATCACGCTAAAGATCCGAACAACCTGTTTATGGTTCGCATTGCTCAGGGTCTAACACATTTAGGCAAAGGAACGTTGACGTTGAGTCCTTATCACAGCGACCGTCAACTCATGAGTCCTGTAGCAGTTGCAGGATTAATGGCTACACTCGTTGGGTTTTTGGATGTTAAAAATAGTGAGTAATTATGCTTAATGGTATTAATGAATTACTTGTAATTATGTCTATTTTAGTTATTTTGGGAAGATCGCATTATCTCCTATACACTTTAGCAGCGGCTATGCAACCTAGGATGCTTGTGACATTCGATGAAGATTTGAATCCATTGCCGGTACCTGTGAGAGTGGGATTGGTAAGTTTGATTCAAGCAAATTTAAATTGCAAGATGATTAATGAAAATTTTATTTTAGGCTGTTGATGTAGTTGGTCAAGCTGGTAAACCAAAAACTATAACAGGTTTTCAAACACATACCACTCCCGTTCTTCTTGCTTATGGTGAAAGAGCTGAACTGGCTACTGAAGAATACCTAGCCCTCACTCCGATTATGGAAGGTTTCGTTATATTGAGAAAAAATCCCGACTTCAATGCATAAGTTTTGAATATAGACTTAAGAATTATTTATAAATCATATAGTCCAGCGAGCTGTTTTATAACGAATAATTACGTTGTGTTTTTTAGTTATTATTCAGTGAAAACTAAATATTGTATTTCTAAATAAAAATTAAAATATTTTTAAATGTTTATTACATTTAGTAACATTCACATACAGTCTTCATAAAATATGTTTTAACCAAAAAATATAGAATTTTATACCTGTATTGTTTGGCGAAATTTTTAAAATCATATAATCTTATTTTATATAAAAATTGCAAACATAAATAAATAAAAATTAACTATTTGTATGTAAACATCCAAATGAATTGATAAAGATAACGATACAATAATCCTTAATAATTTTTTCTTTACAAAAATAAACTAAATTTTGTTTTTTCGCAAAGAAAAATAAATTGATAGTACTTATGTATTTATTCTCACAACACTAAACATTAAGTTGTATTCCAGTGCAGCGAATTAAAAATGTTCTATAGAACAATGCTAATTTTTTGGGAACTTGTAAGATCCCGTGAAAAGGAAATTCGCTATTCTGGTAAAAGAGTAGAGGTACACAATTTGAAATTACACAGGAGTTGACAGTCATTAAATGGAATGTTGGAATGTTTGCATGACATTAATAAATTTTTAAAATTACAACAATTATCACAAAAATAATTTTGGTGCGTGAGAGATTTACCAAATTAATCTCTGTGGATCCTCATATCTAGACCAAGTTATTATTTTGGTGAAAAACAGATTTAGAGTTATGCAATTAATGACCACGTAAGTCACGAATTCCAGAACGATATTAAATACCGAATTTGTGTTCGTTTTTATCCTCAATCTGAAGAGTATGTAAGGAATAAAGAAGTAGCGTATTTCAATTAGCTTCTGACTAGCCAATACAGCGGAAACACAAATTAAGTAGAATGTAACGAAACTTATGTCGTGCCTGCTGTAAATAGATTTAATAATGACATACCAAGCGAATATGTATACAGGAATCATGGCGTACTTAAAAAGGACGAATTTTCCATAAAATCTGTTCCACACGTAAAAAATATAGTGCCTGTTATCAGCCAGCATATACGGATGGACCAGAGTGTTTGTGAAAACAATCACCAAACAAACAATCGTAGCAATGGAGATTAACAATTTGTGAGTTTTTGCGAAAGCGATAAAGTTCAGAATCTCCCCGACAAAATGCGGCCAAGCGAATATCAGGCAAAATATCGAAAAATAAAAAAGTTGCGGGATATGTATTGTCGCTTGATGTGCAGTCTTGTCTCCAACAACTATACTGCCGTTAATTTTCAGGAATAATACAAACAATCCCAAAGTCACCGAGTAAGCCAAAGTATCCAACCAAAATTGTACGTTAGAGTTTTCCAACACTCTCAAAGGTCTTTTCACGAGTCTTCTCAAGAAAGTGTATACATCCTAAAAAAGATATTTTGAAATATTTAATTAAAAACACGTGTAAAACAATTCGTAATACCTTAGCTGGAATGCCTCTCTCGTGCTGTTTCAGTTTCGTAAACGTAAATAGCTCGGCTAGAACATACCTCACAGCAACCAAGCCAACCCAAACAATATTCGTCTGTCTACAAATTACCGCCAGTAAGCCTGAAATCGGTACACTCTTAAATAAAATGTGGCTGCTAGAAATTGCGACCCACCGAAAGTTGAAGCGCTGTAGTGGCGTTTCTTCTCATTAGCAACCATCATCAGCAGAATCATCGTCAATGAGACCACATCAGTGTAATAAAAGTTACTGAAGAAGTACAACGGAGGCAACAAAGCCAAGGTAATCGAAGATAGGATGTTCCTCCATTCGTTCTAAAAAAAATCGTATTTTTTACAGCTGTATTGTATATTTCGGTTTAAAAACCTTTTTCAGTAAGTACGTATTTCCATAGATAAGTATCGCAATTTTATAAAAGATAATGCAAAGTATTTACGAACATCAAGTACTTCCGACAAAAAACTTATTAATATTTATATTGAATTTTAAAGTGTATGACATACCCTTTCGTTCTTTCTGAAGAGCTTGTGAAACAGAATTACGTTGAATAGAGAGAATAATAATGAAACGAATCTCATCCAATACGGCGTGCATAATTTTAAGGGCCCCATAAGCAAAGCGCTTACTAAGTACAGCCCTGGTAAAGTGGTGACTTTAGGATCCCACTGCAAAAATACATTACAGCACATCAAATAATACTGACTTACTTATACGTACCACCAAAAAATTAAAATTGCAGTAGGATATTCCGAGCGGAAAGTGAAATTCTTCGTCGACCACCATTTTTGAGGTTAGATAGATTTGATTGAAAATTATTAAGGACGTTGCGAAAAACAAAGCTAACGTTAACATAAAACATACTTGGGATACTCTAATTTTTCCTAATAACATGTTTGCTGTTGCAATCAATTACATTATACGATAAATCAGCGAAACCACAACCAAACTCGCTCGGCAAATAAACAAAACTGGTGTTTGACGTTTGGTTTGACAGACGAATGACAAATGCCAGCATGGACCATGCAAATATTGCAAATATGCGTAGATACACAACCAATCACAGGTAAGCTGATCGACACGTGTTGCTGAATTAGCCGTTTTATTGGATAATGCTATAATAATGAACATCAATAATGTATGAATGTGCCTGGATCTGGGATTTTCAAAAAAAAAACAAATATAATCGGATTATGAGTAAAACAACGAATAAAACAACGAAATTTTATAAAATTGTATTGTAAAGTAAATAGAACGATTTTTTTTTCAATAAATTATAATAAAATTGAGAAAATAACTATAAAAGCTCGTAAATTCATAACAATTAAATAATATATTTTATATAGCTTTCATTTGAGCCATCAGTTCGTCTAAGCTAACATCAGCATCAGCTGTGGCTTCTTCGCATTCCTCCACAGCAGTTTGATTCGGTAGAGTATAAGCCAGCTGTACACCTTCGGAAATAGTAACTTGCTCTTTCGTATCTTCGCTCTCATCCACCAAACTTATCCCCCATTCATTATCATCGTGAATCGGCTTTTCTTCCTTAGCTTCCACGGCAATTTCCGGCTTCGGCTTGAGAGCGAACTCCTTCTGCCTCAACCTGCAGTTCGAGTCGTCGCAACTGGGATTAGGCTTAAGGGTCATTGTTGGGAAAAAATCGGTCAGAGCGCTGTAGCCTAAATAGTTGGTAACTTGGCCGAATTGAAGCAAGTATTTCAAGGTGTTTTGAACCAGAAATCCCGCCACGATACCCATCGTTGTGGGAAGACTAGCAGCACACACGCCGTCCCTTTTAAGCGTTTTCTCGTCGATGTTTGAGGCTACTATCAACGGAGGAGCGCACTGAAAATTTAAATAAATAAAAAAATGTTTCTGGTTGATAAGGTATCGAACGTACAGCAAAGCAGGCCGTTTCTCCGGGGATTATGAACTGTATATGTCCCGAAACAGCGTTTTCTGATACTCCCGATTCGAACCACGTAAGATTAAATTCATTGCACGCTGTATTAATAGCAAATCTCGCTTCGAAATTGTCAACACAACTTAATACTAGATCCACAGGTCCCCCTGTTAAATTACTCGATCTAAAACACATAAAAGAGTCGTAAGTATCATATTTAAAGTATGCTACAATTAAATTACCTTAAAACCTCGGTAAATTTATCGAAGTTTTCAACTGTAGTGATATTGTAATTATATGTGTGAATGTCTACGTCTGGATTTATGTTTCTTAAAGTTTCAGCTGCTGCATCGACTTTACTGAGTCCTGATTGATGTGGTTGGAAGAACAGCCTGTTCATATTTGCTAATTCGACCTTATCGTAATCGAATAAAATGAGTCTTCCGATGCCACATCTTGTGAGCATTTCTGCGGTAACACTTCCAACTCCACCTATACCCACCACAGCAACGGTGTAATCTCGTATCTTTTCGTAATTATTTACTATACCCATGCGTTTAAGTGCCATTAGTCGACTAGGGAGTAAAAGAGTTAAAATATTTTAGTTTTGAATGTTAATCTTACAAACCTGTAGGGATTTGAATCGACGACTTCCGACGACATTTCGTCTATTTTCTTTCGGGCTACATTTTTCTGAGAAATTTTTTCTAATTTTTCCTCTAATTCCTTTATTTTATCTTGCAGTTCTTTTACCGTAGACATTTTTTAAATTCATTCAACATATGTCTTCAAAAATTTTAAATTACTTTACACATAAACAGTAAACGTCAAAAAAACTACGTTCGTTGCTATAAAGCTGTCAATTACTTTGGTGCACTCCAAGAAAACAGCTAATGCAGGTTTGTTCGAATATTATACTCTCGATCGTTGTTCGATTGTAATTCGTACTGTTTGCTGTCAATGTTGTCAAAGTCAAATGTCATTAACGTCACTTATGTCACGCGTTTTTGTGATTGTGAAGTTTGATGTCTAAAATTATAGTCAGGTTATGTTTTAAAAAACGAATAAATAGAATGAGTTGAACATTAAAGTTTATATAAGTTGAATACTTTCATGTAAAGGTTTCTATTCTAATTAACAAGCATGCGGAATAGCGGTCATAAATCATTCAAAATATTACTACCAAGTAGGTACCTTAAACGATATTAAAAATTAGTAAATTTATCAATGTTCACTTTCAGGTAATAATATCTATCCAGATGAGAGTAGTAAACCTTGTCCGGCGAAACCTATTCACTTACGCAGGATCGAACAAGCATTAGATCTAAATATGTTCCTCAAAAACGTTAATAGTCAGTTGCAACTCAGTAGTGATTCTGATGATTCGGATGAAGATTTAGAAAGTGTGAGCGATACTAATTTGGATAATATTCTGAGAGGTATTACTTGTTACATAATTGTTATTGTCGCGTTATTTGTATGGTTTTATTTTAGAAACGGAGTCGACTTCACCTAAAGAATACTACAACTTTACGAGCGTTTCGTCTAGAAGGAAGTGGTTAGCAGATGTGTTGCAAGAAAATTCTGACCGTTCTTGTGAAGATATTCAGTACAAATATATTATGAGAATGCACTCTTATCAGAAAAAGCTGAGAAAAACAAAAGATGTGAGATAAAATAGCGTGATAGTTAAGCTTATAATTTTGACACTTGATTTTTCAGAACTGTGATAACTACAAATATTATGGAGCGGGATTAGTGAGCGCTGAAGATCATTATCCTGAAATCGAAAAAAATCTTCCTATTCCGGTTAAAAAGCACAAAATTAAAACAGAAGACACTGCTAAGTCGCCACTTTATCATCCTGAGATACTCGATGAAATATCTGTAAGTAATTGGTTAATTAATTATCGTAATGATGTTTAATTTTAATTCAAAACTCTTAAAGCCCATTGTTTTGAAGGACGAGCCAGTATTAGACCTGAATCTCCAAAATGGCATGGAATTCCAATCTATGGAGGATATTGAAGAAAAGTACGTGCCCCCCGATTACGGTCTTTCTATTAACAGCCAATCGGTGCAGACACCCCAGGTGATGATGAATTTACCAAAGAAAAAAGCTAAGAAATTCAAAGATGAAGAATCTCGAAAGAAGTGGGAAGACATGATGACTGTCAAAAGAAGGAAACTATTCACCAGCATTGTTAAAAAAGAAATAGGAAAACAACACCGATCGAAAATCAACAAACATAAAGAAATGCTGCTGCAATGCAAACGAGTCGCTTCTCACTGTGTGAAGTACGCCAGACAGAAAGCTGTAAGTATTTTAGACAAAAAAATGACAGGAAATTATTCAAAGCAATATTTTTTGTAGCTTCAAAGTGCAAGAATCGTTAAGGAACAACAATGGAGAATGAAGAGGCTCGCTAGAGAAAATATCGCTTATTGGAAACGGTCCCGACGATTCGACAGAGAGGTTAAGAAAAGATTGGAAAAAGAAGCGGAGGAACAAAGAAAAATTGACCATGAACTTGTCGAGGCGAAACGTCAACAGAGAAAACTCAACTTCCTCATCACTCAAACAGAGTTGTATGCTCATTTCATGTCTAAAAAATTAGGACAAACTTCCCCTGAAGAACAACTGAAAATTCTGAGCCAGCTCGATGAGGAAAACTCTGTGAAACTCGCTTGTGATACCTACGACAGGTAAATTCTTTATATTTATATATGAACAGACTTTAGGTAAATATTTTTTTAGCGAAAATATGAAAGAAATAGCAAAGAGGAACGCCTTAAGCGCCTTTCACAACGAAAAAGCTAGAACTAGACACTTCGACAAGCAGGCAAATTCTTGCTTGAGCGATTTTGATAACCTTGAAGGAGAACAACCTCAGCCCGACATGTTCAGGGGAAAACTAAAGGGATACCAACTTAGAGGAATGAATTGGTTGGCTAATTTGTATTCGCAGGGAATTAGTGGAATTTTAGCCGATGAGATGGGTCTCGGTAAAACCGTGCAAAGCATAGCATTCCTTTGCCACATTGCAGAAAAATACTGTAAGTAATATCTGAAATTTCCGGGCATAACTAACACGATTCTATTTTAGCTGTTTGGGGACCTTTTCTAATAATTTCACCAGCTTCGACACTCCACAACTGGCAACAGGAATTAGCGAAATTCGTGCCGGATTTCAAAGTAGTACCTTATTGGGGGAATCCGAACGAGAGGAAAATTCTTAGGCAATTTTGGGATCAAAAAGACATGTACACCAAAGATGCTAGTTTCCATATAGTTGTAACTTCTTATCAAATAGTCATAACTGATATCAAATACTTCAATAGAATAAAATGGCAGTATATGATTCTGGATGAAGCCCAAGCTATCAAAAGCACGAGTTCCATGAGGTGGAAAACTCTTCTAGGTTTCAGCTGCAGGAATAGGTTGCTGTTGAGTGGTACACCCATACAAAACAGCATGGCTGAGCTTTGGGCTTTGCTGCATTTCATTATGCCTACATTGTTTGATTCACACGAGGAATTCAACGAGTGGTTTTCAAAAGACATCGAAAGCCACGCTGAAAATAAAACTGGAATTGATGAAAGTACGTGATTTAAATTAAAATGCTATTGCTCGATATAAATTTGTAATTTCCAGAACATTTATCAAGATTGCACATGATTTTGAAACCGTTTATGCTGAGGAGAATAAAGAAAGATGTGGAAAATGAGCTCTCTGATAAAATAGAAGTAATGGTGTATTGCCCTTTGACTACTAGACAGAATTTATTGTATTTAGCCTTAAAACAGAAAATTAAAATAGAAGATTTGTTACATTATACTGTTGGTGGAGGAGATTCCCACACAGTAGACAAGAATTTTACATCGAATTTAATGAATTTAGTTATGCAGTTTAGGAAGGTAAATCGTAATATTTAAAATTCAATAAACCAGTGGTACAAATTACTCTTTTTTAGGTTTGCAACCATCCTGAGCTTTTTGAAAGAAGAGATGCAAAATCACCTATAAGAGTATCTTCTGTTCAATATGCTGTTCCCTATCTCATATATGATTCCAATATAAGATCAGTTTTGATGCAAAAGATTAATAACTTCTACATATGCAGACCGGATTATTTGAACGAATACGTCAAAAATAATTTCGAAAATTCAATTTTTAATTTTTGCCTGAGCTTGAATGTATCGTTCAAAGATATATACAGCATATTTCAAGGAGATATTATGCACAGGTAATTTCTCAAATTAATTATATTAATAACAAAATTGTAATGATACATTTTTTTAGGTGGAAACATTATTACGAAACGGAGAAATCGGACGAAATTCGCTATTGCAGAAAACTATGGAGTTCTTTCTTAGCCAACGAACCAATTCTGAGGCTCCGGAGTTTCTTCAGATTGAACAAATGGCAAATAAAGTACAGCAGCGCGCTCAGCGATTTAATCTTCACCGAACACAACAGAGGAAACCGAGTGTTCTACACGCACACCGACCATTTGTACCATTCCATGCCCGAAACCGTTGAACATAAAAACATCCGCTTGAAAAAAGAGTATTTACCCGACGAAAATTCCGTTATCGACGTCGTTAGCGAAGGAACTGTAAGTGTAAAGCAGTAATTCTTCGCCAGTTATTTTCTCATGTAACTTTTTGCAGAAACCTTCGCAAAATTCTATGACTGATTTCCCGTACATCAAAAGACCAACGCAAGTGTTCAAATGCACAAAGACTGAAATTCCCTCCTTTTTATTCTACAATATGCCTAGGGTGAGTTGATCACATTCGTATTCCTCAAGGGTATTACAAGTATTGTTTTTCAGGTAACTGCAGCTCCAATTAGTTTGTATTGCTATTCTCGCAGAGCAGCTTGGGATCTGAAACGACACATAGACGATTATAGTTTCAATTCCCTAAATTACTACTGGTCGAACGCGACCGACAGCCCATTCAACTACCAGTCGGCGCAAAGCCTGCACCCCGAACCTTTCAGTTGCGCCGATAACGTTAAACCAACCAACGGTTGGTCCAACATCGTTATTCCGGACAAGGAAAGCCTGGTTACCGACTCTGGCAAATTGTCCGTTTTGGACGGGCTGCTGAAGCGCCTGAAAGAGGAAGGCCACAGGGTTCTAATCTACTCGCAGATGACGAAGATGATCGATCTTTTGGAAGTAAGACTTGGCAGTTGTTTATTCGATTTACTTATTAACCGAGTGGTTTTGATGCAGGAGTACATGTGGCACAGGCATCACAAGTACATGAGATTGGATGGTTCGTCCAAAATATCGGAACGCAGGGATATGGTAGCCGATTTCCAAGCGCGAACGGACATTTTCGTTTTCCTTTTATCCACAAGGGCTGGCGGACTCGGCATCAATTTAACCGCTGCTGATACGGTGAGTTTCACATCTAATTCGTTTGTAATGTTTGGACGGTTTCCCAACACTTGTAGACTTGATGATTCATCAGCTTAAGTTTCTTATTTTTGTAAGCAGGTAAAATTTTTGATACTCTGCGATCGGATCGGCAGATAAAAAGTAACGTATTATTTTTACGGCGAGTGACAATCCGTTATCAGTCGATCTTTTATTGATACCTACATCGATGATTTTTTTTCGGGAATCGCGTTTTGTTCGGACGAGCGTCTCGATCGCGTTTTAGGTTCGTCAAAAAGGAGTATGCAAATTCGAGGAGAACCGGTTCGTTATTTTACAGGTAATTACGGATTTTCGATTTGAAATGAACATCTTCATTTTTTTGTCGATATTAACATAATCGGGCGTAACAAATGCCAAATTTCCTGCGACATTTTCGGAGCAGGTGGCGAAATGAAATGCAAATAGGAAACGGTAAATTATAACATTTCTGCTTACGTACAAATTCGCTAATTATGAATAAACGTATTTTTCACACGGGTTCGAAATTGGTATTCTGTCTGGGAATTGTGCTGTGATTATTCTCGCTGATTTACATGTCTGATCGCTGTAGATTCCGCGTTGGGCTAATCAGTTTTTCGAAAATTAATAAAAATGTAATTTCGCTTGTACGAAACGAAGAGAGCGGGATTCGAAATAATGCCCGTTATAACACAGAAAAAATCAGTTGTAACGGTCGGTTAAATGAAAAATTCACAATTTACAAGGCCAGGAACGATTTTATGTACCGTGGGCGCTATTATCAAATTCAGATACCGTTCCATTATATTTTCCATTGTCTCATTTTATATTCAGTATGCATGTCGACTTCTAAGTATTCTGTAATATTACGTATTTCTCATATTATAATAAGTAAACAATGAGAATGTCATCGCGGTTATATTTTCACACGATAGTCTCTGCAATATTCATAAACGTATCCGGAAGAATGCGAATGTGTACCGCTAATCTTTTTATTGATAATTTATAGTATATCGCGTGATAAATATTCTATTTATTTCGTGGAAAATTCACCGTACAAGTGTTCCTATTGAATTCGGGGTTCCTTATCACGTAAATGCACTTTTGTAGTGGGATATCGTATGACAAAAACAGAAATCTCGACAGCATCGTACTTAAAAGAGAAGCGAAATTGTTCTCCGAATAATATACCGGAAGAAGCTAGTACTCCATGCCATTTCCTGCCCTGCGCACGTGTTAGGGTGGGCACGTATCCAAAATCTGAAGTAGCACAGTAGCTGATTCAAAAAAAAACCCTTTCTTATGCATTTACAACCACCGCACAATAGACTCCATCCGGAAAGAGGCTTCTCTTGCAACCAATTAAATAAGGGCGCATTTCGCACGTAGTGGGTGGGTGAATTTAAGAGGTTAAATTACCCCTCGTTGTCAGCGTATTAGGTAACAAGTATTAAATATTTTGCCGATAAAATCTACCGTTTTCGAGCGCGGCTAAATAATAAAATAATGGAAATGGAAATTTGGGAAGCGCGTACCTGCGAACGATAACACCCGTTAAGGAATCCCGGGATTTTGTCGTCTCCGGGCGAATAAACATAAATTAAAAACCGGCCGGCGAGACAAAAGCGGAGGCTTTTCGAAAAATCTCAAAAATGTAATGCGGTTTAGCTACATAGTCGAAAAATTTCTTCGCCTTATTCAAATCTTTCGCCGCAATATTTTATAACCCTCGGTCACTACGCGGAATGCGCGTCCCAGAACCAGCGAAATCGCCGGGGCGACCTTCGGTTTACCAACGAACGAATTATATTTATTTTCGCACTCGGCCCAATTCATAGTGGATGCTTTTCGAAAGCGCTAGTTTTCATGTAACGGTACTCGCTGTAAAAACGCTGCATTTCAGCGAAAAATAATAACAGCGACTTTCTAAATACGTAACTTTGAATTAAAATGCACTTTATATAACAGCGTTATCTAATTTGTTTGTGAAATACAAATATTTTTTACCATTACTATACAGAGTGTGTCTCTTGACTCGATGGATAAAACCTTAAGAGGGTCAATTTTAAGTCCTGTTGGCCTATTAGAAATTATTTTAGTGGTGGAAGAGTATATAGGTAACACCTCTGGACTATTATCGTTGGAGATATATGAAAAGTTTAGTGCATTCTATGTTCATCGAGTCGCGGGACATCCTGCGGTTTAATCATCAATTATGACTAAAAAAATGGACTCACGAATACACTACCGGTTTTTTAATTCCGTCGCATTAAAAATTGTCCATAATGGCTTGTCCCAGGTCATCTTCTACGACAGCGATTGGAACCCCACTGTGGATCAACAAGCTATGGACAGGGCCCACCGATTGGGTCAGACTAAGCAGGTGACAGTCTACAGATTAATTTGTAAAGGCTCCATCGAGGAGCGCATCCTTCAACGGGCCCGAGAGAAGAGCGAGGTATTTTTTTTTTCGATTTATCACTAGTAAACGCATGGGTAATAAACGAATTTTTCAGATACAAAAATTAGTCATCAGCGGTGGTAACTTCAAACCCGACACCCTCAAACCTAAAGAGGTCGTTTCGTTGTTGCTCGACGACGAAGAGCTGGTTCAAAAATGTATGTAATTAACGAGTTTATTTAGTGTATAATTTGAATTATTTGCAGATCACTTAAAAATCGACAACACCCCCGAGGAATCCAAAGAATCGGACAAGAAACGAAAGTTGTGCAAGGTAACGACAACATCAATCTACTTCGCGAAAAAACTAACGAATTAACTCCTAATCCGCAGGCAATACCAAGCGGCGTGGAGCCCAAGAGGATCAAGCAAGAACCGGGCGTCGCCGCCGACGACGGGGGCGGCAGCGTGGCGGCCGAAAGCGGACCCAACAGCCCCCGGAGCGTCCACTCCAACGACGTGATGACCGACGATGTGCCCGACGTGTACAACGACGACGCCGATTCGGCCATTACGAACAGTAAGTAACGCGATTATTAAAGCGAATTCCCGCGAACTAACGTGCGATTGGTAGAATACACGATCTACAACGTGTACGGATCGACGGTGAAGCCGAAACACGCCGGCAGGGGCTCGTCCAGAAGAGGCAGACCCAGGGGATCCAGAAGCCGGACAGCCGGCATCGGCAGGAATTTTTCGAACAACGCCTCCTCCTCGTCCAGCGGGGTCTACGCCAGCGGTAAGTTTCTATAATTCGTAAAGCTAAAAAACGCACGTAGGAATCGTTTGTATTGAGTTTTATGCGAGAACCATCCAGCTCGTTTTGATACAAACTTTTATGTTCGTGCTAAAAGGAGTGCGGCTTCTTAGAGTGTTGCGTAAGTTTTTTACTATTGTAAACGAACAAAGCAGGAAGTTTTCGGACGTTACCGACACCGGTTTTTCCAACAGATCCGGTCCCGACGGACACCTCGTCGATCTCGTCGGCGCAGTCGTCGCCATCCGGAGCGTTCGCGGACGCGGCATCGGCGAATCCCGGGGGGAGCCCGAGCCAGCAGGCGGCCACGGCGGTCCGGCGCGGGCCCGGCCGGCCGCGCTTGAAGCCCGGCGGCCCGTCGAACGCCGGCTCCAGGGGCACGTACAGGCCGCGCAAGCCGGCGCGGCCGCTGCCGGTGCCGCTGCCTTCGGACGGCACCAATTCCGGCTCGAATACTAATAGTAATGCAATTAACTCGAGTTACTCGTTTTATGAATTTCCTGATGATTAAGTTTATTGTTTGCGGTTTGTGCGTTTTCCGCGTGACGCTAGTATGATGCACTTTGATTTTCTTTTTTGAAATTATAGTAAGGAGGCCGTTGTTAATAGTTTTAATTTAGACGTTTAAGTAAGAAATGGTAGTTGTTTGTGGATAAGTTTTGTATTGTAAATATGGTAGGTGTGGAATCTGCTCTCAGTAAAACGGTAAAAAAAACTTTTGGGTTTTTTGCGAGGTTTTCAATGAGGGTTGTGAATTTGAAATTTAAGCTCCAATGTATATAAAAAAATCACCAATTCGAGAACGCCTTTTATATTGTTTTAGTAAGAATCATTTTATTTTTTTTATTTTTACAATTAATTCTTTTAACAATTAGAGGTTGAAGTATAGCATAAAAAAATGATCTCTAGTTTTATTTCAGTTGTGAGTAAAGTGTAGCATACTTTTGTCCGCACAATGGGAGTTCGATGTAAATATTTACGCAAAGTATAACAATAATACTTCTAGTCCTTCATTGATTTTGATTTCTGCAAATATTGATTCGATTTTTGGATAAAGTAATAGTGACGTAAGTAGATGAAATATTTTGTTGCCGCCAATCGAATCCGAGCTTTATTCAACGAGAGTTGATCAGCAATTAACGACTCTTTGAATTAGCGGCATCAAAATTAACCATTAATTTGTCTACCTATATTTATTAAAATATTTATTTACTTCTCTATTTTTTAATCGACATGTTTGTGTCTGTCTATAAACTTTGTATGTACATACTGTAATTTAATACAAGTATTAAACTAAGTATTAAGCGTTGAATAAATATTTTTGAGATATAAAAATTTTTATTTTCTTAAGAATGTGAAATCCTTAATTTGTTACAAAAGAGAGAAATCGGACAATTGCAGTTCATTATTAATTATTATCTTCACTTGCTTTCAAATTCACTAGTTTTGTTTAATTGATATTAACCAATTAAGTTATCCAATGTCCGATTTATTAATAATGAATCATAATGATTTTTATTCCCTTTTATATCACTCCTAATTTTGAAGATACGGAAGATTACGGTGAGTATAAAATAAATATTAGAGTAAAACATTCGGATCCATTCATAATTCACAAGCCATTCGGTTGCAATGGTTTTTTCCTGAATCGATTCACCTTCTAATAATAGTTTTTAAGTGAGTTAATCATTTCGGATTTCAAGTTCTATTCTCCGAGAATGCCACTTTAAAGTTCACGAACTTCCAAGACGGTTTTGAAACAATTAAAAAATATCGAATACTTTATTTGCATTAAACATTCATTAAGCGTATCATCGCGATATAGGATTTCACAGGGCGTATTCGCAGTGACTGAAGTAGCGTGAGCGTCAAATTTATCGCGGAAAATGCCGGTAATTTGAATTGAAACGAGATTTCACGTGAATTAACACTATGGAATATTCAATTTCACTATTGGAATTCGCCATTTTAAAGTCGGGTTTAGTGCCTGTAAAATATTAATTGCTTTTATATAGGGTTGTTTAAAAAGTTCCAGCAGTTTTAAATTCCGCCGTAAATAATTTTAATGGCGCTTATCCTATTTCGCGTAAAACTTTTTTGTTCGTCGGATGAATAATATTGTTTAACTGATTTTTGCGGGAGGGAGGGATTTATAGCGAGATTTTAGGGTTGTGACCCTTGATTGAGTTTCCATTCGAGTATTTCGCGGTTTTATTTTTTTCTCGCAATTTAATGGTCTAATGGTTTTTAACTCATCCAGCGCAATTTTAAAGCCATTATAAAAAATCACTTGTAATGCACGAAGAAGCATTTTCTCCGAGACGAGTTCGGTTTTTGATTGTGAAAGTAATTGGCATTAATGTGTATTAAACTTCAAAGCGTGATTTAAACTTTGGGCTTAGAAAAATTGCGACATATTAAATTTATTTTACCCAATTTCGTCCATTAAAAGCACCTTTAGCGATCTTGAATTCGTTAATTTTTCCTTCATTGCTCCTCGAAAATATATCCAGAAAGTGACAGTCGGTGTGTTTTAAATAGTCTTAAGCGATTTTAGCCGACTTGAATGAAATTTCTAAAAATACTACGAGGCTACAAAAATGTTATCGTCTCTCGAGTGTCGGAACATCGTTCGCACTAATGATACAAAAAAATAAACCTTCGACTTCAGGTACAACAATCTATTTATTCGAATTAGAATCTTCTTTAGATTAGCCAACTTACGGAACATTTTCGCCCTGTCTAGTCAGAGATACAAGTCTTCAAGTTGAAGACGCCGGGCGCACCAGCTTAATCAAAATTTGAACAAAACCAAACAAATACTGTGGAAAATCAGACGCAAGATATTTATATCCTCCTTAGAAGAGGTCGAAACTTCGAAACAGGACCGATCTGGAAATTAATTGGATACAAATCGTCTTCATACAAATATTTCACTAATTATCTAGTAAAAACCACCTTGAAAATTAATAAAATATTAATAAAAACCCTAAATGTATTCATCTTCATGCTTAATTCATAAGCTTCTTATTAATTTTATTCATCAGGTATCGTTAGCGAATTGCTACTTAAATTTGTCGTGATAAAAAATCTGCCGCAAAGACAGCAAATTTTAATTAAATTCGGAATAAGGTAGGTAAAAAGTTGGCTGTTCGATTATTCCGGCCGGTCCTGTTTGGAGCATCTAATTCGCTAAATATAAATAAATCGTCGAGAATGAGAAACTCCTTGTTCCACAAACTACAACTTACGTGAGTTTTTCAATATCAGTATTTTTAGTGAAATCGTAGGAAGTGAATCAATTATTTCGTCGAGTAGGTTGAATTAATTTCGTGGTATGTTTACTTTAACGCATCTGACACGATGGAAATGAATACGTACAAGTTTTAAGTGAGACAATGGTGCTGGATAATTCCGATTTGTTGCGTAGTGGCATCCAATAATTTGTGATAGTGCGAATGTGTAGTGCATTTGCCGGTGCAACTAAGATGCCATCCCTTTGGTAAGCGAAGCAAATATTTGTAAACATTTTCGCTGAAAATAACTGAACTTTATGCCGAAAAAAAAAGCTTATAGAACGAGTAGTGACGAATTTAGTTTGAGGTTTTGGGTCATGCCGAATCTATATCAAGTTCAAGTAGTTACTTTTGCCAATATTTTTTTCGTACCACGATGCATTTGCATCTTTTTCACTAGGCACGCCTCATTAAATCCGATCGGAAGAAAAATGTGTAACGCATTTTCGGATCTCGTGAAAAATAGCGATTCGATTTATCAACGTTGCATTCGGAAATTTCTCATATCTTTTCATCCACGCTCTGACTGTCGTAGATTTCGTAATTTCACATCCATCTGTTCGTGGATTCGAAATTCCATGTAGCTCCATTCTGCATTGTATTATTGATGTTTTGTTGAATGTCCCACTAACACCCTAAAATGCTCGTAACTGTTAATAGAAAGCTAAGAATACAGGTTGTTGCGTTCAGAAGGTGCCACTTAGTGAACATTTTTATAACCTTGCGCCTTTCTTGTTCATCGCTCTTTTTTCGAATTTCTTTGCAGGAATAATGCAAGAGTTTCTGTATGGAAGTGCACCCGACAAAATGACTCGCGCTTCCCCTTTCGTAGGATAATTGTGAATTATTCTCTAGACCATAATAAGTCGCCTTCTTAGTTCCACCAATGTGCCTTTTATCTTTGTAAATATACCGGATTAGGTCAATTGCACCTGCAACTCAAATTTCCCAAAAATATTACATAACATAAGTACTTGTAAAAATAAAGAAAACTTCTAAAAATTGCGCAATTATGAAGAGTTATATAAAATTCAATCAACTGTACTGAGCTACCGGTTAAATTTCGAGCGAGTATCACAGGGGATTAATCCTAAACAATTAGTGCAGTTATTTGTAAGATGGACGTGTCCAGTAGGAGAAGAAGATAGAGAGTAAGCAGCAGCGTCTACGAAGCGGAGTTCCGCCACCGGCACCGGCTGACCGGAAGCCTTTACTCATGAAGACGATGCGAGTCCACTAACCGAGACCGAGACACACGGTAGAGTGCAGCTCCACTGCGACTTTCTTGCTTTTCGGTCCGTTTTATTAACGTCGAACAGAAGTTGTGGATTCATAGCGGGCCGCTATGAAATTCGATCGATCGGGTTGGATTCGAATGTCGATATTTTCGGCTGGAAAAGAGGAGATTTCTTTCGGAATGGCGGCGTTTATGTAAAAACGGCAGTCTATTATGTCGCCCCGAATTCCGGTAAATGTTTTAACGGCCGTGGCAGTGCTTAGTCGAACTGACTTGTCGACAAGGGTTAGCAAATGATGCCCTAAAAAAAAGACAGATTACCGGAACTGTTTTTTCTTTGTCTGGGAGTGCAGTCGCTAATGCTATAATGTCTAATGTGGTGTGAAAACTGATAACTGAAAAATGAGGTATTTTTAGAAAATGCGTGACGTGACGTGAACGTTTTTTACCTACCAGAAACGATGCTTTTTTTTGCAAACCAGCGCCACTTCAGTTTTCCTCATACAAAAATGATTACGAAATTATTTATCAATTTATAGATTTTTTTCCCGAAGAACACGCACACGAATTTACGATGATGTCCATACACAAAATTTATCTGTACAAGATTTTAAAATATCGAATTATATGTTTTAACATGAATATGCGTTTCTTCTAATAAATTAATTCAGATTAAAATTACGATAAAATATTTGGTTGACACTAAAAAATGGGATAAGGCTGTTATGAATACCAGTTAGAAACTTATTAGATGCTCAATGCAAGTATCGAATTGAAAAAAAAATAATTCAAAAAGTAAACGAAATCGAAATTTATTTTCGTGATGGGTGCGCCGAAAGAATCAAATAATTCCCGAAACTCTAATTTTAGTGAACGTTAGAATATTTTACGAAATTTCACCAGATAAAAATAGTTCGAATGGCATATTTTTAAAAGCGGCACTTATTCGGACGCACTTATTTGTATACCAAATATAAATTGCCCGAAAAAAAAAACATTTTTGGTCATTCTTTTCGATATCTAATATTAATAATTATACCTTGAAAACGTATGAACTAATGAACTTGTTTTCGCTTACTAACGACTAAACAGTATTTATTTACTCCTAAACTTTAATATTAGCCTACTTCCTCTGCATAATCTCGAGTTCCTTAAGCGAAATTGTGTTTCCCATGGCCTTCCACTGTAAGCAATAAGAATAGAAAAGATGCAGATGCCATCTGGTAAACCAACAGGTGGATTTTAAAATTTATTTATTAATAATACGAAATATCATTTCTCATCTTCGAGCAGATTAGTAAATGATTGATGAAACGCACACTTAAATTTTAGTATACATCTTCTGTTGCTATACTCTTATATTTGTTGATGATTTCAGGTGCTATTATAATGAAATTGTGAAACAACAACAACGGGATGTAAAACTTGGTAAGTTTTTGTGTGAAATTAGCGTGCATGTTTAGCTTTTCTGCGGCATTGCAAAGAAGCGCACGTTTTCCATTTTATTTTTGTTTTCGACGATAAGAACGTACGCTCGCACCGAATTTAACACCTGCCTTCGAAAATTTCCTTAAAAAAATCTGCAAAGCACATGTCTTGTATCCCTGGGAACCGAACCAACAGATGCTGCTCTGCCGAATCTGTACACCTACATTTATTATTAAAAATTTTACCTGCACTTTTAGTGTACTTAGTACAGGTAAACTCTTCTTGACTCCCCCATATGCTTTCCCACACCTATATACATCCAGTAGCGCAGCCATTAAAAAAA